GCAGTTTTAGGACACTATGAAAATAGATTCATAGTTCACTAATCCAGATAAACTCCACTGTTTCTTCTTCTTTGGAACATTGCCATAGTGTGGAGTTGTAAGATGTCCAACTAGATTGTCATTTGTTTAGATTTTTTTTTTTGAGAGAGAAACGGGATAATTTTTGTTCATTAAGGAAGCATTTGCTTTATGAAGACTGTAATGAGCAATCGCAGGGGCTCAGAATTCGTGGCAGTTAGAGAACGCCAGGCGAGGTGCACCTCTTCTCGGGGTGAGTGAGAGCCCTTCTTCTGGATCAACCTCCTGAATCGGAGATTTGTGTTTTGTTTTGAGTAGAGTGAAGCCCTTACTGCTTCAGGAAGAACACCATGGCAAGGTATCTCCCATTTCTGAGGAACAGCACCCAAAGAGAGCAAAAGATGAGCTGTCTCATGTATATGTGGTGAGCAGAACTGTTCTCCAAGCCAGACAGCTCCGTCTTCGTGTGCTCAGCGATATCTACCTGTACATGGCATTTTCGGGTCTTTTGTGCTTAAGGAAGTTCCACCAAACAGCTTGCAGTATTGGGCTTCTGCTCTGTCACTCCAAGCAGGGACTCCTGGGTGATAACTCTGTCCCCTTTCCTGTGGCCAAGAGGGCTGTCTTCAATACTGTGATTGCCTTGTTGTGATATCAAGAGGGAGCCATGACTGGTGGTAGAAGCCTCAAACAGAACAGGGGACTGTGAGTCTTGTGAATGTATATTTTGTATTCTCATGACAACTACATGTGGGAATGGGAGCCACGATAAGTACTGATGAGAGAGAGAGAGAGAGAGAGAGAGAGAGAGAGAGAGAAAGAGAGAGAGAGAGAGAGAGAGAGAGAGGCAGGAAGCAGCAATGTAACAGTCACCAAAAGCTGGCCCACAATTTGAGTCTGTTTCAGGCTCTGCAGCCGTCTGCCTTCCTCCCCACCGCCCTCTTAGTCGCCTCCTGAGCATGCCCGGTTCCCAACAAAGCTTCTCTTGTGTTCCACCTGTTTCCCTCTTCCCTGGCTGGGGACAGGCAAACTTAAGTATGCGATAGGAGGACGGACATGGGAACAAACGAATTCCCAAGCTGTGACTAAGGATCTAAAGGAATTTGAGAGAGAACAAAACTTAGTAAGTAAATAAGAAGGAGAAAGGGGCCACCTCAGGGGCCGCGGGCGGAGGTCCTCTCTGTCTCGCCCCGGGGAAAGTGCTGTTTGTTTTTACATTCTACTGTAAATTACTCGGCAAGGAACCTTATTGATCCTGAAAAAAATCCAATCTTTAGATTTTTTTTTCCCATCAAGGCAAGAAAATGTGTACCACAGCCTCCCGGGAAAACAAAGCAGCACATTTTCTCTTCCCAGGCTCAGCCCGTTCTGCTCTTCTGTGGGGAGGTTCAGCCTGGGTGATGTTGAGGCACCCAGCTACATGTCCACACAGGAGCTCTGGCCTTGGGGAGTCTCACATAGGCTTTAGGGCATCAAAGAAAACTTCACGTTGAAAGCAATAGCTCTGCGTTTCCCCCAGATCCCCAAAGGGTGAACCACCAAAGCATCAAAAGGTACAGCAGGGTCATCGGGAAGAGCCCGGTCGCCTTCCTGGCATTCTCTCTCCTGTATCTCTCTGCCTTTGGTGTCTGCATCTGTACTCATATGTAGAGTCTTTTACACTGCGGCATTCACAAAGTTCATTGGGACTGGTGCTTTGGACCTAAATCATATAATGTTGAGCATTTGCAAGCATATCTGTTTTATATGTAGATTTTTCTTGGACCATGACTTACAGTGTCGTAGGTGCCCAAGAAAGCTCTCTGAAAGGAGAGAATGCATTTAGTAAAGGAGTCTGTCAGAATTACACTTGACGAACAAAATTAGTGTTTTGCAAATATTCAAGAGAGGTCACTACTGTTAGGACGGTGGAGAAAAGTCCTCTTCAGTTCTTATAAAGTCTTTCGTCTTTTATTGTTCTAAGACAGCCAAGGTGGAACGAGAAAGTTATTGGCAATAATTACGTCTTGGGAGGAGGGTGCTTGATCCATGGGTGGTGGAGAGAGAATTGTGTGACCTTTCTGGATGGGAGTGCCTATAATAGGAGTATATAAATAAAGATAACTGCATTTATTAAATTCTCTATATCACACCAAGCTAATTGTTGGCACATCTGAGGAAAAATCAAATCCAACTTTAAATCGAATGGTGACTGACTAATTTATAGGTCTTTCGCTGAGACCCCACAAGGGACCAGACACTGGAAAATGTCTGACTTTCACGCTCAAGACTCAAGTTCACTGGGAGAGGCTGACAAGAAAATGTGAAAAATCCAAACAGATGGCCATTATGAGAGACGTGGGCCATCTTAAAAGTTGGAGCCAAAGCAGAGATCCAGGGGGATGGGGCTGGCTCCTGGCAGAACCCTGGAGGCCCTGAAGGTCTGTTGAGGGAGGAGATTGGGGAAGGGTGCTCCGGGCAGAGGCTGCAGTGTGAGTAGAAGCACAGAGTCATGGAGTGGCCAAGAGACCGCCGGGCGATTGTTGGAAATAGAGTAGGATGAGAAGGGAGAGCTGGGACCAGATGAGATGGGGCTGGGAGCAGGTTCTGCGTCATGCCAAGATGGGTCAATGTTACTTAAAGGTGTTTGTGAGTGACTGAAAAGCTCTTTTAGGAAGCCCACAGTTCTAGTGTGTGGATGCAAACTGAAGAGGGCTCAAGACCGTCCAGGCTGGGAGGCCTAGCGCAGCTTTCCCCGCTGGGACACGGGGCGGTGTGAGAGTTGCACCTTGGTGGTGGGAGGAGGAACAAGCTGCCCCCCACTTCCTCTTACACCCACGTCAGCTGTTGCTTTCTCCTCAGGCACCTGCGAGTGGAATTCTTATGTAAACCCAAATGTTTGGCACCATGGTCTCTCAGGGGCATGGCGAAAGCTGAGCTCCATCCCCACTCCTTAAAACCAAGAACCATTAGCAACCCTGTGTACTCGAAACTTTCCAAATCAAATATGGTCATATCAAAAACTATGAGCTCTCTCCAGGTGGATGTAACTGGTCTCCATTCTGCCCAGAGTCCAGTGGCAAAGAGCAATAAAATATTGGCATCCCATTGCCCATTTAATATTTATGTAGCTGTTGCCGTCTCAAAACCTCAGAGTTGGTTGGATACGAGGTGAGCTGAAATCCCTTCTGACAGCAGGTCCTTTGGCAGGGAGGGGGGGGGGGATGCTTTCATCCATAAATAACTTTCCAAACAACACTCAGATAGCGGCAGGAGATCAAAGAAACACTTGGTCACCATGGGGGCTGCTTTGGCTGTCCCTCCCGCCTCTAGAACTTATCTCTTGCAGGGAAGAAACTGGATCGCCCTTACTGGGGATCAGAGCAGACTTGCCCGAGGGCAAAGCGCACTCTAGTCCAGGCAGATGGACATGGTTCCCTGCAGGGGAGCTGTGGTCTACTGGTGAGAAAACAGGGGAGGATGTGGCCAAGAAGGCAGGCCTGGGGCTGGTAACTGCCTACCTACCCCTCCCGTCAAGAGGTCCGTCCAGCAGTGTTAACGGCAAATTTGGTTTGCATTGCCTTCTTCTGTCTTTTTTTTTTTTTTTTTTAATTCAAGTTCACAACAACCCTTTATATATTATTTCTTCTTTTAGAGGTGAAGCTCTTGACTTCATTAGCCCGAGCACACTGTCCATGCCCATTGTGGGAAGGAATGGAAGGGCCTAGAATTGAGATGCAATGCCTCTTTCACTCAGAAAATAATGAAACCAGTAAATACACTGAGAGGAAAACAATTGCCTAGGGGTTTGAAAGTATTGATATTGAGAAGCTCCGAAGGGACAGCTCTACAGTGCCATCTCACAGTGAAGGGAGTTGGGCATATGGCTGGTTTTCCCAGGGGCTCACCCCTTGGTATGCCCACCCACTTTTTTTGCAGGACCCTGAAAAGTTGGCATCATCCAGGTTTAGTAGGGGTGATACTTGTTCCATTGAGTGAAAAGGTCTGGTAGTCTCACTATTCAGGTTTTCCACTGTGTGCTGCTTGTGTTTAGGTGTGGACAGGACAACTGTGGGCATCATCAATCCGAAGCCACTAGCTTATTTTTTGACACGAGGTTTCTCATTTGCCAGTAGGCTAGGGTGGCTAGCCAGAGAGCAGTGTGCATCCATCCTCCCAGCTCTGCCTCCTCCACTGCTGAGCTAATAAGTGTACAGTGCTTCTCTTGGCTTTTCTTGTGGATCCTGAGGATCAAACTCAGGACCTGGTGCCTGTCAGACAGATGCTTCACAGACTGCGCTATCTTCGCAGCCCCCAGACTGCCCACTTTTAATGATGGCAATGACAATTAGCTGTCTGTATTCATGGGCTCCACACCAGTGGCTCCCACCAGAGACCAAAGATATGAATTAAAGGGGAGATGGGTGGGCTGGAGAGATGGTTTAGTAGTTAAGCCGCTTGCAGAGAATGAGTTTGGTATCCAGCACCATATTGGGGAGATCACAACTATAGCTCCAGACCACACCCCTGGCCTCTGTGGGCATCTGCATTCACAGGTGCATGTGTATACATACGTACACACATGCTTAAAAACAATAAAAATTTATGTTAAAAACAAATGATTGAACTAAATATAGGCATTTTTTGGTCATTATTTTCTGGACAATGTAGCAAGACAATGATCTATACAGTTTTTTTAGTGTTGTTGTTTCATTAAGTATTTGTTGTGATTTGAATAGAAATGGCCCCCATAGGCTCATATATTTGAATACTTGGTCATTAGGGAGTGGCACTAGGAGGTGTGACCTTGTTGGAGTAGATGTGGCCCTGTTGGAAGAAGTGTGTCCCTGGGAGTGGGCTTTGGAGTTTCAAATGGTCAAGCTAGGTCTAATGTCTCTCTCTCTCTCTCTCTCCTCTCTCTCTCTCTCTCTCTCTCTCTCTCTCTCTCTCTCTCTCTCTCTCTCTCTCTCTCTCTCTCTCTCTCTCTCTCCTTGCTGTTCCAGATGTAGAGCTCCCAGCTCCTTCTCCAGCACCATGCCTGCCTGCATGCTGCCATGCTTCCTGCCATGATGATAATGGACTAAACCCCCGAACCTGTAAGTCAGCTCCACTTAAATGTTTTCCTTTATAAGATTTGTGGTGGTCATGGCGTCTCTTTGTAGCAATAGACACCATAACTAAGAGAGTGTTGTAAGTAATCTAGAAATGATTTAAAGTTTTCTAAAGATTGGGCTTGGGTTATATTCAAGTACTTGACTATTGTAATGGATTGAACCTGAGCATCCAGATTTGGGGAAAATCAAATCCCCGTGGACACTGAGAGGGTGTAGCACATCTCAATGATACTTTCCAAGGTGAAGACATTCACGTCTCTGTAAGTGAGGCTATACCTTTCTAAGTATCTGCAGACTGAAGGCCCCTTGCCAAGTGACGTGGACACAAAAGAGGTGGTTCTCTTTGCCCTTAAAGGACTCATAGGTCCTGAGAGCAGATAAAGACCGACAACTACAAGAGAATGAGACACAGCCTATATGAGTCTTATGGGTAAAGTACTGTTGAAGTTCAAAGGTCAACAAAGTTGGGAGTGGGGTGGGATCAGGGTAGCAAAAATAGAAATTTCAGCTCACAGAAGGGCATTCTAGGCAGGGCCACTTATAGTTGAAAGAGATGAACGTGATCAGCTATGAGAGGGATGTTGTGCAGAAAAAAAAAAGCAAGATGTGGGGATGGTTGGATGATTGCCTACTATCCTGAGGGGGCTGGTGCTTATGTCATGGGGACCCCTAGAAAATTTGTGAACAGAAAAAATGAAAGGCATGGCCAATTCATGTTTTAGTTTGATGGTAGGTATGATACCTTACATGTCAACTTGACGCAGGCTAGAGAGTCATTTGGGAAAAGGGGTTCTCCGTTGAGAAAATGCCTCCATTAAGACTGGCCTGCCATTAAGTGTGTAGTGCACTTTCTTAATTGGTAATTGATGTGGGAGGACCCAGCCCATTCTGGGTGGTGCCACCCTTGGTCTGGTTGTCCTGTAGCTGAACAGGTAGCTACCGCTAGACGTCCTCTGCACAGACCAACTACAGCTCTAGGACTAACATACGGCCTCCTCCCTTTGGTAAACTGGTGGAGGACACCATGTGAAGTTTGGTCTTGGCACAGCTAGTGAGCTCCCGTAGGAAGTGAGGTGAGAGCCAGAGCCCAGACAGAGGCTGCAAGGGACTGTGCTGCTCTGGTCATCCACTAAAAAAAAAAAAGAAAAAAAAACCTGAGTACCCCATTTTAAGCAGAAATCTAAAAGCCCGTTGATGTGTTAAGGCAGAAGTAGAGATTTCAAGTATCTTATATGACTACCCTTCAATAGACTATTTTAGAGAATTTGGAATGGTAAATTTTTATATCAAGATGGTAATAATCCTTAGCACACACCCATAAGTCCTCAGAATTTTAGAAATAGAGACCGGAAGAATGTGAGTTCCAGGCCACCCATGACTCCATGAGACCTTCCATGAAACAAAGCAAAAAGACGTTAACTTCCTTGCCTTTTTATGAATGTTTTTGCCATTTTTATTTTTTTAAGCTTTGAAATAAAAATTAATATAAGCTGACTGCCAGCCTTGCTTTTCCAAAAGCATTTCAGACACTTGATACCAATTACTTAGTTTTTTAAAAATTGTAGTGGCATACACAAAGAAGATATAGTTTAACATGTGAGGTGGGGTGTGTGGCTGGGTGCTGCCTGAAATTGTAAAATGAAGAGGAGAAAGTTTATTTTAGTATGAGTATGAACTATATCAAAAAATCTGAGATAAAACTAGGCCTAGGAAAACTATTGCAGAACAGTCTGCAATAAGTGGCCACATAGAACATTCCAAATACAAGTGCCATGCATTAGTAAGGTTTGCTGTGGTCTTGCTGAAAAAAAAAGTTTACTCATAAAGCGAACAATCTGTCCATTAATTTTTTAATATTAGAAGAGAAGTGGTTTTAGGATTATATATGGGTTTGTAGAAAAGAAGGTTTTATTGTTGGACGACATTGGGAAGAATTTATTTTTTCTCATTTCACCAACTGAGGGGGCAGAAAATACAGGTAGGAAACTAGCAAATCAGATGCCTTTCCTTAAAGAAAACATGGCGTCATGCATGGAGCAATTGGTGCCACTATAAAAGGTACCTACTTTGCTGGTTTCCAGAGACATCATGTTGGTTTTTGACTTTCTTTAGATTCCTTTTCCATGTACAGAAGAATAGAGAATGTCTTCTGATAAATCTTGGTGATGATGGTATGTGGTTTTGGGATTAAGCAAGAAGGAACCCAATTGAATATTAAAGGGCAGAAAGACAAAAAAAGAGGACTTCACATCCATAGGAAGGGTCTACCTGTCTTAACAACACAGAGTCTTTAACTGAGTGCTTATAAGCCAAAAATCTAGAATCTAGAGCTATTTTATTATTATCATTGTTGCTGTTGTTCTTGTTGTTGTATCTGCTAAAGACATAATATTGGAGACCCAATAGACAGGGTCTCTGTGCCAGTACAGTTTGTATTGTTTTGTATTTTTATTTGGCAGGCAGAGCCATTGTGACCATTACCATCTCAAAGGGCAACTGATACCAAAGTGGTTTCAAATCAGCTAAGAAAGCTAAGTGCTGTCTTCTTGGGACAGTGTCATGTTCACTGAATGAGTATCAAAGGATTGAGGAAAAGATGTTGTGGAGCTCTCTCTCTCCATCTCCATTTCCTTCTCTTCCTTCAGTCCACCTGGCTTCACCCAGCGTCCACAGACACTACACACGGTACCTACTTATTTCTCCCAGAGGCATGCCATTCCTCTGAGCCTGGACTCCTTCAGCATTGTTGTCTCTTTTCCAAGCACTTCTGGATTCTCCCTTTATCACAACTTTGATTCTAGTTATGACAAGGATATAGAAACTTCTAATGTTACAGAATCCATTGATAGGCTATGTCAAAATATCCGTGATGATGATAGCGGAGAGACACGCCCTGAGATGATGTATTTTAATGAGTACTATTATAAAGGAGTCAGATGCAGCAGCATGATATTGCTAACATTTCCCGAGCCAAACCTGTTCTCTCTGCTGCTTATTTGGTGAATCATTGGTCCCTATATCTACTGAATTCCATCAGTGTATTTAGAGCTATACACAATCACCTGCACCCTGGGTATAATGTCACCCTTTTTGCACTCAAAGAAGGCAACTGGATGAGAGCAATGTTGTCCGAATTACATTAACTTGCTCATAATATCAAACACAAAGGAAAGAGTCGGCTTCATTTCTGCGGTCTTAGAATCATAATGATCATTCAAGCTATTTGCTATGCATCTCCTAGCCGATAAATCACAAGATGGATGTGGACCACAAGGATGCTTAAAACTAAACAGCTGTGTTTTAGCTTTACTTTTCGAGTGGGACCTGAGGCTGCTTTAAGATAGCAGTTTTTCCCAGTGCTACTCAAATTTTATTTATTCGTTGCCTCATTCATTTTTCATCCATCCATCCACCCGTGCAGCCATTTATTTATTCAATCTGAGCATCGGGGGCGGGAAGGGGAGAAGTGAAAAGACTTTCCATGCGGAGGAAACAGCCTACAGAAGGGTACCAAGGCATGAGATTATACAATGAAGTCACCGAGGTTAGGCAAACTGCTCTGGGGTTATAGGCACAAAACAGAGGATGCTTAGTGGTGGCTGATGAAACTGGAAGGCTGTGTTATAGCCTGGGTATTGAAGGACTGCCTATGTACTGAGGCGCATAGACCCAGTGATTGACACATGGAGTGAGTTATAATCTCTACAAAGTGTAAAGTCCAGTTCTTACCGTCGTTACTTAGAATTCTGACCAGGGCCATGGCTATAACAGAGGGCCAGTGGGTGACCCTCCTCCACTGATTGGGGGCTGGCCAGCAGCCTGGAAATTTTGATCTGGTGGGTTGGTTCCCAGGATCTACCCAGTGAAAAATGCAGGGAATTGTGGGCTGAGCTGTGAACCTCTGAAACCAGTAGAAGTAGCAAGGGCCTAAGACACTCTTCACATGGGCTTGTTACTCTAACCCCCTGGAGATCAGAGTAGAGCCAAGCTTCTCTTGTTGAAAACTCTCAAGGTCTGCAAACTCAAGAAATCTCACCTCAGTCTGCAAACTTTTCAGATTATGGGCAAGGTGCAGTAGCCCCTCAAATTCCTAGTTTTGGTGTCTGACCTCTGACCTCATTCCTTATGGTTTCTGTTGAGTTTTATTTGGAAAATAACAGTGAGTTAGTAGTCTGCAGTCTCAAGATTTTGTCTCAGCTCTGTCAAATAATGTTGTGACTTTGAGTTTAGTTTCTACGATAGAGAGAGGACTGTGTTATAGTTGGGTTTCTCCTGTTCCAGGAGCCTAGGGTCTGTCTCTCTCTGTCTCTCTCTCTCCTCTCTCTCTGTCTCTCTCTCTCTCTCTCCCTCCCTCCCTCTCTCTCTCTGTGTATTTTATGATTTTTATGTATGCTCTTTAATATTTCATCACACCTTAAATCAAACACTTCCTAAAAGCTGGTTTGCACTTAGGCCTTTTTCCTTTGATTACTCTGATAAGTCTTGCTGCTTAAACGCCAGGTTTCATCTATTAAGATCACCTTCGCTGTTCTGATTCTTTTGTTACTGGGTTTGGACTTTTCCAGAATTAGCCCAGACACACTGAGCAGAGCATGGCTAGGCCAAACCTCTGCCTTCTGATCCCAAGAGGAACACCGAACCAGCACAAACACATTCCTTCCCGTTGTTAATTCCTCAGCAAACAGCAAAGAATTCACCACCACACCGTCAAGTATGCTGGGCCGTTTAAATGTGGAGGGAGGGTACTAGTAGAAAGCAGAGGGACGGACTATCATTTAAAAGGGAATCTCTAGAAACCAGTGAATAATTGAGAAAAATCAAGTGCGCTGGCAATCACAGGAAAAACAATGGGCAATTTCTCTTGTGAGATCAGAACTTACCAATTGAAAATCGCTCACACAGAGGTTGCAAGGAATCAGTGTCCTTGCCTAAAAAAGCAGAAGAGATTCCTATTGAAGGAACCAGTGATGTGGGAAAGACGA